CTGCTTTTTAAAGGCTGTACGGACTTGTTCAACCTTCAACCCCGTGGGAAGCTCTACCGTGAACGCGTTCGCACGCTCGGTGACGAGACGCTGTATGTGAGCTCCTGAGCCCTTGTCAGGTGGTTTGCGGTGTCCTAGGACGGCGCTAGCATATGTGCGTGGCGGCGACATCGATTAAAATTTGCGACATCTGGTCACACGATTCTATACACACACTGCTGCGAAGTTCACATTATTAAAAACTCGGTGGCCAAGTGGTACGGCGTCCGCCTCCTATATTGTTTAGCGGAAGAGCGCGGGTTCGATCCCCGTCCGAGTTACGCTTTCTTTTTGTGCATGTGCGGACAACGCCTCGCACGTTCATTGCGCACTGCACATAGTGCTCTCCTGCTATTTTTTTTTGCACTTCACTTGCCGCTCGATTCTTGAGAGGACTGATCAAAGGACAAAGAACTCGGTGGGCTTTGCAATGCCAGACTGTCCGTTGCATTAATGACTTGGTCATGAGCTGAGCGCCCTTGAGAGCATGCACAAGCTTGCCAAATCCCGCTCAACACTTCAGCCGCAAGCTGAATTGCGCGAACTGGTATGCGCGGTGTTATTCAAGCCAACGGTCGGTCGAAAACAATATCTGTCTCGCCCATGAGGCTGTTTGCTAAACACAGTCATTCTCGTGCTCCTGCTATGCACAACGTCAACCCGGAAGCACGACTTGCGTCCGCTGAATTTGCCAAAGTGTGAGCGGAAGCAAGACCTGACTCTCCACTTCTGTTTCCGAGTATTTCATCTCCAAGTCAAAGCTTCTCGAGTATCATGCCTTTGATATTCCAGCAAAAACCGAATCCGACCTCAAATGAAATTCTGCCGTAGCCGGCACGTTGAAATCTGAGCACTCTCAGTGAGCTAAGCGTCCTCCTGCCTCCAACAGACAGACTCGCGGCCTTGCTCAATTTGTCTTTTTTTCCGCCTTCATCGAGAGATGAATCCGTTCCAAAGTTCAGTCACATTGCATCAGAATGTAGATCGGCACCGCCAAGACGCCTGAATGTTGGCCAAATGAGGATTGAGGAGCTCTGTGCTTTCGTTCAAAAAAAAAGTTTCTCTGTCAAGCCCTTTCTTGAATAGCGTGCAACCCTCAATTTACCCGCTATAGTGTACCAAAGCGGCTTCGCAGAATTGACACAGCGCTGGCACGCTCGACCGCTTGCGGAAGCAAGACGACGAAACGAAAAAACATTTCGAGCTGTCTTGAGTTGACACTATTCAAGCTGGTTTGTGCAGAGTTCTGACTATTTGATGTCTAGAAATTTGAACAGCGAATCGGACCGGATCTCGCAGAGGCCGCAACAGCATGAATGCTGTCCGCAACTCTACAGACAGTCCTTCGAGCTGTCATCCATTGCACACAACAACGCTTGCAAATTACACAATCAAGCAATCTTGCAGGACCCGCAAGACAATTTAGACACCGTCTGGCTCAAATATTAAAAGTGCTTGTGCCGCAGAACGAAGCGAGTGTCCGTGGGATGGAATGCCGAGGTCAAACTATTTTGCAAAACCGTAACGCGACCTAGCTCTACCAACTTGTGCGACTATGGGACCGGATGAAACCCCGTAACGAAGACCAGCACTTTCTTTGAAAGACAATCCGCTTTCGCAAACTTTGCCCCAATACAGTATTGGTGCGTAACGCGTGTGATAGTCGTTGGCTCGAATGCTTGTCGCAGCTCGGCTTGGCAAACTCGCAGACTAGAGTCGAGCTGCACTCGGGTCCGATAGATAGACCTCACCGACCGCTTTCGTGGCTGTAATCCTGTCACCCAGCAGAGCCATGACCACCAGTGTCAAATGCTCCGCCTCAAAGTATCCGACTATTCAAAAGCCAGGCGGTGGCGATCGCGGTCGGCTGCGATAGCCAGGACTCGTCTCGCCTTGCTTGCCCGTCAAGCATTTACAACGAGGCCTGACGATCTAAAGACGAGACTTCAAGTCGAACGAGAAAGATGCAGTGTACGCAGCAGTCCAACATCGAGCTGACAGCGACGCCTGTCACGTGACTATCGAGACTCTTGTAGGTTTCAAGCGACCGAGGTCATCACAAACAGTATCATCGCGAATGCCCATCTGTTGTAAAAGATTTCGCTGAATTCCTGGGCGGGAGGTCATCTCGACTCGCTTCGAGTTCTCGCCACCTTCCCGCCGTTCGCAAAGCACCTACGTTGCTTTTCCCATCTTACCAAGCTGGCTCGCCCACCTCTCAGTCCCGATGCGCGCCGGTGAGTATGCGATTCGAGCCAAGACTGGTTCTGCCGGGCATCGACAGACTGCTTGACCTTTCCATTGCCTTACAGGATCCGCACGATCATTGTCACATTTCCGTTCTTGATCGCTTCGTCAGTGCTCTTGTACAAGCGCGCCATCCTCGGCGAGGAGCAGCGACGACTGCCGAGGCCAGCGACCGTCAGCGAAAATGCACGCGTGCAGCGACACGGACAAGCAGGTGCAACCGCTACCGGAGACGAAGGGATACCTTCAGACGTGCTGCAGAGGATCAAGGAAGCAGAGGCGGCGAATGAGGCATCGTCGCGACGGTATCTCGAGCATCGCAGTGTATTAGAGAATCAAGAACCTGGTGTATATAATTAACGACTGCATTCGATTCCACGATGGACCGGTACTTGTACAACCACTATGCCCTCTCGGGGAGAGAGAGACCCTACAAGAGTAGACCCAACACAATATGGAGTACTGCGTTGAAGCCAGCGTTCTCTGAAAACAAATCCAATCAACAGCTTTAAATCAAGAGACGGAAGTCGGGATGCCTGTTTCCGAGGTCATCAATCTCGTCTTGCGAAAGACCCTCAAGGCGGTGGTCGCGGCGGCCTTGCTCGCGCAACTTGTTCTCATTTTGAACATAAAGCAACTGAAGACAACGATAACGGTCAGAAGACGCTTCTCGCAGTCCGTCCGAAAAATAGAGAAAACTCACAATGCCACCGGCGACAGCCGCAGCGGCGAGAGCGCCAGCCGTGTTGAGAGCGTTGCCGGGCACAAAGCGCGGGGCGTATTTGGGAAGGTAGGCCCATGTGGCGACAATTGAACCCCAAGTTCCGACACCGGGTACGATGGCGGTGGCGATAGCGCGCGACGTATCGGGGGCAGAGTTGGCGGCGGCCCACGACAAGAAGATGGGACCGCAGGGAACGGCACCCGAAAAAGTCAAGAACGTGGCAAAGTAAAGGACGGCCTTGTTGGTCGAGGCGAGGAAAATGATGTAGCCGACACACGACAAGAGCATGGAGCCGATAATGAAGATGCCGTGACGGCGAGTGCGCGAGCACAACCACGAGATGGTCAAGGTGTAGACGCAAGCGACAATGTAAGGAGGCACCGAGCGAAGCTGGACTTCAATGGTGGAGTAACTACATGACGGCAAACGATTAGCCATCATCAACCGAATGCACAAGCACGAGGCTGGACTCACTTTCCAAGAGTCCGTACGACAGTAGGCAAAAACAGCGAAGTACCTTGGACGATAATGTTGACAAAGCCGTAACCGAAAGCGCAGAGCCAAACTTGAATGTTGGCAAAACCTTGGATCGTGGTCTTTCTGGTGGCAGGCTTGCGAGAGTTGCCAATGTGCTCGGCTGCAACACGGGCCGACGCAATGACCTTTTCCTCGGCAGACAGAAATCGGGCAGTCTCAGGCGAATCTGCCAACAAGAAGATGCTCAAGATGCCGACACCGGTCGTGAGAATGCCTGGAAAGCCAGCAAAGACGAATCAGCAACGTTGTTTGAATTTACCCCTCATTACAGGAGCAACAACGAAATCAACGAACCCTCGACGAGGAAGATGCAGCGCCATCCTTTGACAGATCCAATGCTGCCCAAGTTGAGCAAACCAGCGGCAAGCAGGCCACCGAAAGCGCCAGACAAAGTCGGGCCCAAGGCCAAAAAGATGCCGAATCGGAAAGCGAGTTCACGACGAGTGTAGAAGCGCGACAGAATGAAAGCGACGGCCGGAATGACACCGCCTTCTGTGCAGCCGAGAAGAATGCGGACGACAACGAATTCGCCATAGTTCTTCATAAAGGCAGAGCCTGCAGACAGATTAGTGTCGGTCAACATTTAGGGCCCTTAGGCAGCCACATTCTTACTAGCACTCACCAATAGTGACGGCACCGAATCCAACGACCAGGAACGACAACCACAGATAGCCAACCTTCTTGAGAATCAAGTTCGAGATGGGCTACCAAGGGTTGCTCGCAGTCAGCATAGCCGCGCTTCGCGCGAAAGCAGCCTTCGTTTCTTCTGGGCTCACCTCGACAATAATGTAGAAAATGTAGAAGATCATGAGAGCTGTTGAAAGGAAGGACGATCCCAGTCCTGGTTAGCGACTGCTGTTTAGAGCTCGAACGCTCGGCACGAGACGTCGGATTGGGGTCAACTGACCGATATTGTACTGATATTTCTCAGCTGAGAGCTTGAGGTCTTTGGACAGACCGGCAACGTTGGCATTGCCGACAGCAGCACGATCTGCACGTTATTTGGTGGGAGCGGAGCAAATGGACGGTCAGAGTCCCGATGGTTCTTGGCGGTTGCGCTCTCCACAGCGACATACCGATGAAGTTCAGCAAGAACAACAGAGTGACGAGAGGTACAAGGATACTTCACGTCAATTGTTGTAGGTCAGTGCAAGCAAGCTCATCCCAAGAGACCGTGATCGATCGAAAGCGCGACTCACAAATCCGTCTTGCGGACGATGCGTTTGACGATGACGGGGTCAAACTCTTGCACGTGAGCATTGGCGCTGTGCAGCTCCTCGACGTGCTTGACTGCGAGCTTTTCATCCATAGGCGAGTCCATGGCGAGCGCTCAGGAGCAGCGATTGACGGGCGGGACGAGAGCGCAGCAGGTGTCTTCGTCAATACGAAGCTCTGACGAGGACGGAGGTTTGTCGACAGACAAAAACAGGGACGTCTGTGGTCGAGAGTGATGGCGAGAGAGAGAGGAGCGGACGAAGAACAACGGGTTCCATTCTGCCGGCAGCTTTGCGCAGCAAACCGGAGATCTGGCACTTGCATTGTCGCGTTCGCAGAGCTGCGGCGGGGGAAAGGTTTTGTGGCGACCCGCGCAGCACTGCGGAGACTATCATGAAAAGTCGTACATCACTGCACATCCGATTTCGTCGTATTTCTGCTTCTGTCCTCATTTGTAACCAGTCCGCTCCTAATGCTTGCGACGGTCTCAGCGCATTGCAAGCCAAAACTGATGCCACGCAGCGTAGCGGTCGCCCGCACGCTTGATCCGGCCTTCGA